ACAAACCATAATGGTCTACTACTTATTAAAGCAAATCTGTTGGGCTATTATCCAGCTCCCAGGACTACACTAGTGAAACAGGAAATAAAACAAAGATTAAGTCTTGTGGATACAGAGTCATCTGGATGATGTCTCAGCATCATGTCTTAAAAATCAGTAGCTGGAGATCACATTTTGAGCTATGCTGCAGAGTCACATTTGTAAGATAAGGATGCTTGAACTTTTTTTGCTCAAAGCCAAATATTCGTCTGCAATTACTGCCAGTTTATTTAGATTGTATTAAACAATATTTAGCCATATTTGCCTTTGTAACCATCCAAAAATATACTTATTAGTTTAGTAGAAATGATTGAGATTTCTGATAATAGGTGTATTATCTGAACCGACAGATCCTTTTAAATTGATCTAAATCAATCTAAGAGCATTTAGAAGTAGAAATAAAAAACATCTAAACTAACCTGATTAATTATGGCAGCAGATTCACAAAGGAATTCTCATTGATGCACATATCTCAGTAATTATGCTATTACAAACTTAAACCAAAATAAGATGGCATTACTTCATTTGGAATATTTCTGTCTTTTTTATGGCAAATCACTTGACTAAATAAGCCTTTAATGTTGTTTAGACCCCTTAATCAGAAATATTATGCTCCACCTAGTTACACCAACACACTTTCACCTTATATGTCATCCCTGCAAACTAAGACCATTTCAAGACGTGCAGACTGCTTTTTTAGGAAAAAAAGAGATATAAATTAACACCCACCGCCATTTTTTTAGGTATACTAAGTGGACACAATAGCAACGAAAACATCTATAAATTAGTGTGAATGATCGAAAAAAATTAAATAATTACATTTAAACATACGATCTTAACAAATTGTGAGTTGTAGTTATCCTGATAAAAGTGAGGTAAAGGGACCAGATGACATTCCAAGGTGAAAATGTTTGTTCCAGATTGGGAAAAACAGTTTTTTTTTTAGATATGGCCAGAAAATAAAACTGCTTTCAGTACAAATGCAATAACAGAACATATTGAGAAGTTCAGTGTGTATATTTATTGATTTGTTCCCTCACTAAAAAAATCATTTTTCTCATTTTTCCATGGATTCTGTACAGATGGGGGTCATTTTTCTTCACCATTTCATATGTTTGCAGTTTTGTTGGTTTCCTGCATTTATTCAAAGTCAGTGATTGAAGCAATCTTTTAATAATCTACTGCAGAAATGTGGAGTACCACAATAATTAATATTTATCTTCACAAGGTGTCATGTAGTTATTTTGGTTTCTTCATCTTTCCTGTCAATAATTGGCCCAAACTGGGGTCAGAACCTCAGAACATGGAAAATATGAACGTTTTTATTCTCCCAGATCTGGAGAAAGAAATTGAAACTAACTCTTTTTAACAGGCTGATGGAAACAAAGGGCCTACAGTTTCTATATTATTAGATTTTTTATGAGTTTGCCTTTTATATGTATCCCCAACAGAGGTTCATTGAGATTAAGACCCTCTTAATGACTGAATAAGGCGTAAATCAGGAGTAGAAATAGAACTTGTTTGATAAACATTTAGGATCTATTCTGAAATAAGGGAAAACACAACTTCTTCTTAAAGGAAAACACTAAAATATCTTTAGGAAGGCAGAAAATATGATCATTAATACTTTTAAAGAATAAAATGAACTTTTTGGTAGCAAAAAAAAATCTTTTATATTGTACACAGCAGTCATTAATCTATTTCACACGTAATATATTTGAAAAAATATATTTTTAGAGATGTTTTCTGTTTCTTTTTCTGGTCTTTTCTAGTTTTCCAGCTTTTTTGATAATTTGCCTGTTTGCTTGATATTAGAACCTACAGATTTTTTTTTCTAGACAAAACAAAAAATATTTATTTTATGTAGCTAGTGACTTTTTGTGTCTGCGCACTGATGTGTAACTATTGCAGGTCACATGTGTGCCGGCGTGTGCGTGCGTGTTGAGGCCGAGGCTTCCTGCACTCAGAGCTGATTTGCATGTTCTGGTCATTTCCATACTGGAACCTTGGCTGTGAAGCTGGCTGTGCTGCAGGGAGGGGGTGAAGGGTTGGTTTGGAGAGGTGGGGGTAGGGTAGGGGGTTAAAAGTGTATTTGCATTTTGTGTTTAAAGCAGCTCCCTGCCTCTTTCGTTTGCTCTCTCTCTCTCTGTCTCTCACACACAGCCCAATAGGCCCAATTTGACATTCAAATGATGTGAGCTTACCCAGTAAACCTTTGTACCACCGTCCTCTGTGATCGTCTCCTCACACACACTGACTTCTATCTGTGAATCTTCTTAAAAAGATGTGCATTTTTTTACATGTCTATTACCTTGCAAAGGTATGTTGATAGCTTAAACCTTTTTACATTTGAAACATTAGCAACACAAATTTCCATGTGTTTAATCAGGATTTAATGTGGGGAACAAACACAAATTAGTGGTTCATTGTGAGACATTTGTTCTGAAATAAATCTGAATAATGTAACATTCATTTGCACTCCATTCAGTACTTTGCTGCACCACCTGTTACCCTGGTTACCACTGGACTGAGTCTCAATCTGCTGTAAAACTAAAATATCCATCTTTTACTATTCCTTTTTTTTAAAAAGAGCTAAAGCTTTTTATAGAGTGAGCATCTGGGAAGATTAGTTTTTAAGTCTGGCCACATTAAAACCATTTGATTTAGGTCTGGACTTTGACTGGACCATTTGAAGATGGCCGCTCTGATCTAAACCATAGCATTCTAGCTCAGTCTCTGTATTTGGGGTTGCTCTGCTGAAAAATGAACCCCCACTCTAGTCTCACCGGCACCTCGAGGTTTTACCTCAGGATTGCCTCCAAACATCTCTGTGCAGCTTCATTCAAAATAAGCATTCCCACAGCATGATGCTGCCACCAACATGTGTCACTATAGGGATCCTATATTTTAGATAATGCACATGGTTAGATTACCTAGAGAAATATAGCTTTAAATGTTTACCATAATGCTCATTTTTGGTTTCTTCTGCCACAAGCATCTTCCTTCACATGTTTACAATTTCTCCTACATTGATTAACGACTGGATTCATGGAGTAGGACTAATGTTTGTCCCAGATCCCCCCTCACCAAAGCTGCAGAAAACTAAAGCCCCCTTGGAAAAATAGGCCTCTTGGCTATTTCTATTAAATGCTGGGCTCTTAAACCAGGTGAACTATTCTGTCTTGTTGGATTAGAATTTGTGTCATATTCTTTTTTATGTCCAGATGACTGATATGAACAGAGTTCATGAGATTACAGAGCTAAAGAATATTCTTTCATAACTTTCTGTCAGATATGTCTGCAGTGTTTCTCCATTTTCATAATGCTGTTGTTCAACTAATGTTTTAAATAAAAACTCACTGAGGTCTTTACAGCACAGTAGATATATTTACAATTATATCAACTCAATTTACGACTTAAGTTGCCTGCTGAAAGACTGGGGTTTTAATTAAATGTATTTAAAAGCATTATATAAAAAGAAAATACAAAAACAAGCATAATATCCAAAATCCAGTATATCTATGAACAATTGGAAGAAATTCTGAAGCTCTATAAAAATATTTAATCCATGAATCAGTTGTTTAATTTTTGAACTAAGTAATGTATTTAGAAATAAATGTGATAATGAATCAAGTTTATTACTTTTTTAATTTTTACTGAAAATATATCTAAATGCCTATGCATTTTTTATTTATCATTATATAACTGAAAGTATATTAATTAATTGGTTAGTTGGTTAAGGGCTATGTAAAACAAACGTAGGAATTTGACTACAGACCACAGTGCAACTATTACGCTCTCTTCTTCATCTTATGTTCTCAGTGAAGCTTGTTTGTTTAAATTTACCCACTGATAACTCTGCAGAGTCCCATTGAACATTTTCACTCACTTGAATGAACATAGTCATCAGAAATCCGCTCATTGTCTATACCCACGTGTCATGCAAGGTCTTGGGTCACTAACAGGATAAACGATCATGCATCCAAGGCTATTAACCAATCAGTTATGTTTTGTTTGGTGAAGTTAATAAAAAGAGGCTATAAATGTATTGAGAAAAAGTGTACGTAGAAAGATCCCAAGCTTTACGCTGGGATGCAGCTGTGCTGTAAATTGTGCCACTGTGCAGCCCTCATGTATGAGTTTAAAATAATATATAGTTTTAGTTCTTATTTGTATCTATTTGTTTTATCTCTGTTTTTATTTATTAATTGATATAAATGTCACAATAATTTGTTCAGTTCATGAACTTCCCTGTAAAAGAGCATTATTTAATCGGTTTGTTGATAAGAATTTCAACTGTGCATTATTATATTAAAAATAGACATGATCCAGATTATTGGTCAGGGACCAGAATATTCATTTATTGTTTGATAATTTCTCATCTGTGATCTGGAAGTAAAACGTAATAATCTGCCTTCCTCTCTTTCACATTTAATCATTTAAAATCAAGAGTTCCCACCTTTTTTATATACATCAACTTCACATTATGAGCAACTTAATGCGAGGAATCTACAGTTTGTTTTCTTTTTTTAATGTGACAGTCAGCCAAAAAGGAAATGAGTAAGTGAAGCCATGAAAACAAATGTATTGTATTAATCCAAAAAAAAAAAAGCATGATTGGTGAACCTCTGATTATTAAATGTATTTTCTGAAGGTAGTATTTGAACTTGAAGCACAAAAAACTGAATCGAAAAATTAAAGAGGCTTTATTTACTCTTCAAATATCAAAGAGTAAATGCTTAAATATTATGTATTTTAAAGGGCAAAATCTTTATAATAATGAAAAAACTCTGACAAATTTTCTAATTCGAATTTGCAGTTAAAGCGGTAACAAAAAATACATTAAAGTCCAACACATGCTCCTTCATAATGGTCTTATAGTTGATTTGCTTTGGATTTTATTTTACAGAAGGCTGTATATTTCTGATCTGTTTTCCTTTTTTCTCTCTTTCCATATGCAGAACGAAACGGAATAGACTTCAATCGACAGGTGAGTGCCTGACATCACTTCCAGTGTCCAAATTCTTATGAATGAGGATTGTGTGAATGAGGCCTCTGTTTCCAACGCTATGACTCAGGATGATCTTTTTTTATACATATGATCCCTTCCTCTTTGCTTGCATGCAATCCAATGTTTGTTTATTGTGCTGTTGGTGAAATAAATACATCTCATAATGAAAGAGAAATGATAGTCAAAGATGACCACATGCAATGCTGGGTTGTCTGTATCGCAGAGAGGATGCATGTATGGCTTACCGTACATTTAGGAGAATGATTCTTCACTGAAAGGAAAATCTTTATTGGAAAACAAACTAAAAGAGCCCACAGTTAATCAAAACAGTTAGATAGATGGAAAAAACAGTATAATGTGCCAAAACAGAGCCACAGTTGGATCTATGATGTGTTGGTTTTTATGGCTGTGCTTTATAATCACCAGACTAAGCGGCAACTAACGATTATTTTACAAATCAATTAATCTATCAATTATTTTTCTGATTAATCGATTACTAAATTAGCTGACGATTATTTCAATAACCGATCAATATGATTAATTGTTTTAGCCCTACACCAGAGAAATTTTAATGACAGAGATAACATAAGGAATTACCAACAGCTAATTACACTTGATTAATATATGGAATATTTACAAAGAAAATATGAACCTTTATAAAAGAAAAGTGATGCAATCTAAACCTAATAACTGATTCTGCCACAATTTTGGAGCACTATTGTTGGCAGAATTGTCTCAATTCAGCAAATCTGGAAAGGTTTCAAGCCTAAATAGGCTGACTTAGATCTCAGTTAGATCTAAGTCTGGTCTCTGACTGGGCATTATTTTGTGTTTTAAACTAGTACGTGATAGTTTAGATCATTTTCCTGCTGCATGATGATGATGATAAGGACATCATTTTGACAATTCACTGCATATTTGTTGAATTCCTTCTTTTGTGTCTAAAACCATATGAGTGACGCCACTCTCATGTTTAAAAAGTGTAGTGAATTAGTATTGGCTCCAAACATATTGTGTGTCAAAACAGTGGATGGATGCTGGTGGATGTGGTTGTGGAACCAAATGCAGAGTACAAGGAGGCGAAGATGAGTTTTTGCTGAATTAATGAAGATGCGAAGGCAACAGAAGCAAAATGAAAAACAAAAGACAGAAAACAAAAACCAGAGTACGTCAGGGAAAACACACATGAGGAGCATAGTAACGACGAGAAACAAGGACCGGGGAACTGCACAGTAGCTGTATATATGGGAGACAGAACAAAGACTGAGGTAATCAGCTAATAGGGAGCAGGTTTGGATAGAAGCAACTAGAAGGGAGCAAGGGAAAAGGAGACTGGCACATGAAGGCAGCAGAGAGAAACACAAAAACACAGCACTGGTTAAATATAACTACAAAACAATTACAATAACACAAAATGGAAAATAAACCAATGACCAAGAAAACAGACATAAATAACTAAAAACTAAAAAAGAAACTCAAAAAAAGAAGTCCAAAGGGAAAACCATGACCAGAAAAAACTGATAAGGGTAACTCTTCCACTGTGGGGAATAAAATCAGCTCCTCTTTTTCCTGTTTTTTGTTTTCCCTGCAATTTTACTAGGAATATGCTAAATTGTGTTTCCTTATGAGGAAAGGTTCTATTCCTGGGTTGGCTTTAGGGCTGAGGTGAGAAGCTGAGTTTAGGTTGAGTTGATTGGGAACAGCAAATATGTGTGTGGATCTGGTATGAAGGGCTAATAAATTGAAATGGAAGAGAAGGCAAAGTCCCCGTAAGTGTAGGTGGACAAAACATCATGTGTGTGGAAGTGTGCTCCTGTTTTAGCATCAGAGTGAGGATCATTTAAACTATTTCTGCATCAATTTAAGAACGGTTTGTATCAAAGAGAGGAAATTTTGCTCATCCCCACTTTCAATTAGGTTTAGAGCTAAAAAGTAAATTGAATTTAGATGAAGTAAATGGTTAGGTATGCACTGGTAAATATTGGGTTTATGAATATTGTCAGGGTTAGGATATAGAAAGAGATTAAACATGACTAATAAACAATAGATGTCAAATGGAGTCAACACAAGGTTCTCATTACATATAAGAAAGGTTGGTGACCCTATATTGAATCTGAACTTAGAAATTCAGATTTTAGTGCAAGTGTATTTGATTTTTGGAATAATCACACTCAATCAAAAGCACCATTAATGTAATTTTCAACATGTTTATTTTAACTCAGCATTTCCAATCATAACCAGCCCTCATGTAACTTTTACCCAGAAGTGTTTCTAAAGTCTTAAAAGTGAGCTTTCAAAAATCAAAGTAAAATTTACTAACCATGTATTCAATGAATGAGTAAATAACATAAATCAGCTTGTTCTCCCCTCTCTAAATTTCCACCATGACCCCCATTGGTGGCATTCAGTCTGAAAACCACTGAGATAAGCTAAACATTAAACTTAGTCAACAGGCTGATAATAAGAGTCATTTGGAATAGTGTGAGGATATTTAGCATTATTTTACACAATCTATGCTTGATTGAAAAATTAGTCAATGATGCGTAAAATGCCAGAACGTTAATATGTTTTTGCACCAACCATGGACAAAATGTTCAGCTGCAATGGGAGGAAACATCTTGTTGCAGTACAAAAACAACATTTTAAAAACCAGCTGATTTTAATAAAAAAGAAATGAACAATAACATATTTGTAGATAAAAAAAAAATATTGCATCCTTCCACTGCCACTGGCCAGCCTGGCCTGCTGAACCGTTTCCAAGTTTGTTCATTAAATAACCTTTGTTTTGAGTTACAAAAAGCTGAACCTCTTATTGTTCCTAAGGACAAAGAGGCTGTGTTTTGACAGAGCAAACCAGGATCTACACCAAGTTCCTGTTGATCATTCAATTATCTAAAAACTACTGAATGTCTGCTTTAAAACTTCAAGATATATGAAAATCTAAACATAATATTATTATCTTAATTGATGTGAAAAGCAAGGATTAAAATATTAAACCACATGCTTTCAATTTGCAGGATTGGATCGATGCTGTCGCAGCACATATGGCTTAAATAAACTTTAAATATTTCTTGATTGATATAATATCCCTTTTTAAAAATATCCTTTGTCTGAGCTATTTGATAGAAAATTATTCACTTTGATAAAAATTTTAAACTTTTTAGACTTAAATGTAAATATAAAAATGTTTTACTGTCTTATACTAGTCAAATATTAATCTTTCTGTTAGAAACATGGTTCCCAAGTGACACGGCAAACTACACTGATAAAGCTAAAATAGGTGCTGCAGAAATGCCTTCTCACTAACCTCACAATGTTTTTGTTTTTTAAAGTTAAAATTATTTAATCAACCGTGGAGTGATTCTTTAGATAAAGAAGATGACTTCAACTGAACATATTTCCATGGCAATAAAGTTTAACTGTGCTGTTTTGTTGACAACATACCGGTAGGTGTTCTTTATGCCAGAAAGCATTTGCTTTAGTCTTTTAAGATTAGTTGATGGTGTTAAGAAATGTCTGGGAATGTTTCCAGATCAAAAGGTTTACAAACTTTAAGTGTCAGTTTGATTAATTAGAAACAAATTACACAGTTTGCAGCACCGTAATTATTATTTTTTTTTTCATTCTGTATTTTGAGGAAGTGCCAAGGGGAGTTAGGGGAATGGATATTTGCATAGCGGTTCGCCCAAAGGGAAGGTTGACCGTCTATCGTGTTTTTTTATCACAAAGAGCGACCAAACAGGTTGTGAGGCCTGTGAGTTTGGTCTGCCTCTATGCTGTGAAAATGCAGTCGGAAACATAGGTTTCCTGCTTCTATGGCCTCTGTCACATTTAGACAATTATTCTCATATCTCCACTTTTCTATTTATTTATATGTTTGCTGCACTTTAGATTAAAACAGAAGACCTCAACGACTCTCCTCATTCAACCTCCTCTGTGAAGACATGTCACCTCACACAGAGCTCTCCGGTGCATGGGGGTCAGCTGACAGGGGTAAGACAAAGCCCATTAAATTATGCACTCCTTTGTCAGTAAGTTTCCACATGCTGTGTAACACTGACTTATCCTAAACAATTTGAAAAAAAAAATTTTTTTAATGGTATCATATGATGTATTACAAGAAGATGGGACATTAAGAATCCCAAAAAAAGCATTAAACTATCTTATAGCGCTTGCCATAAAAAACATTTTTCATTTGTTTTGTTTTTTTCCCTAAATGATGTCATATTTTACTAACACTTAGCAATGAGCATGACTTGAAAACCAAAACCTGTCCCATGGACTCATTAGGAAAATCCTTGCCCATGGCAATAAAGGCAGTGGAGGCTTCCTCTCTTTGAGGCCACAAGAGTCGCCCCCTGCTGGTCGTTAGACGGATAACAGTTCAAAGTGGCTCCATTCCATCTGCTGGAAAATAAGTCCTGTTAAATAGAGTCTGAGCTTATATTTCTCATTATATATCTGTTACCATCACAGACAAAGATGAGAAAAAAAATAATTTATGTTTCATTTAAGATTCGTAATCTGATCTAAAATCACTCATTCTACAATTACCAGTTTGCTTCCCATTTACAATTTGTATAAACCACCTTTTTACCAGACAGTGCCAAACACTGATCATACAGCAAGAGAGAGAGATCTCTGACTCCTCCTCTGCTGTGCTCCCTTCTCTCCAGCTCACCCATGGGGATTTTTGTTAGATCTAGGTGTGTGGACCAAGACAACCATAGAAGTCTGATTTTGTGTGAGATAAACTATTTCCTGGGAATCTTATTACCATAGTAATAAGGCCTTTTGAGGAGAAGTAAGCCCCAAGTATTACAGAGCTTCCACCGTGCTTATAAGTCTTTTTCGCTAAAAAAGCTCTCCTGACCACATAAAATGACTCGTATTAACCAACTCTGCATATTTACGTTTACATCTGAGATTTTTTGGTTTTTTGCATATTTAAAAAAATACAATCCTTTTATTTAAAATTGTAGGTTTTTAATCAGAGATTACCAGAAAGTTTTCTCTACTTAAAGAAATTAAACACCCTTATAACTTCTAAATATAAACAAATTTTCTTCCCGTTTTGCTTTTCTAAAATAAACCCAACTCTACATGTTGTATTTTCAGGAGCTCACCTCCCTCCATCCAATGCAGCAACTGGTTCTGATGCCGCCGTCTCACCTGTCGACTCCCTCCCCCTTCCTAATCTCCCAGAGTCCCTCCAGCCACCAAGGTGGAGTCTCAGTGAGCTTCCTCTATTTCCAGAGTTCAAGTAGAGACTTAAGCAAATAACTACTGGGAAAAAATATGACCTCCTCTATAAAAAAAACAATTGAGTTTGAAGATAGAATGCAGTTTGAGATGGTAGTCAAAGATATAGTTTGATAAATCTCAGTGTGAGAAGAGATAAAAAAACATGGAATTAAATGTAAATGTACAGAAAGATGCTCAGTTCTGTCCATCCAAAGCAGTTATTGATAAACCTCCTGCTGTGTTGCTTGGCAGCCCTCCTGCAGCCGAACCTGCTCTCCCTTCCCGGCCAGAGTCCACCAGGTCTCCTTCAGCATCAGTCTGGGCTAGCGCTGACTCCACAGGTCAGTCCTGCTCTCAGTTCTCACAGTTTTTAATTGTCAGAAGATGATAGAACTGCTGTTGGCCTGCTTTCAGTGTTAGAGCATCTGCGTGCAGAAGTGGAGACGAATAGTTCCTTTTGCTTAAATAAACTATTCACTTAAAAGCATTCAGTGGTTTTAATGGTACAACCTGTTAAAGCAACTGATCCCGTAAAATCCCTGTGGGGTGATTCCTCATGTTCATACCTGTATTGATTCAGTTGAAATTAGGTTTATAGGTGTTTATTCATGCACTGCTATTGTTAGCCGAGGAGAGAAAATTTCACTTTGCTCTTAATCTTAAAGGACACTGCAGTAATAATTTTCTGTTTGTTTGTTCTTAGCCATTATGCAATGCAAAAAACTGAAATCTAAATAAGTAATTTTTTCTTAAAATAAGTGCATTATTTCTGGAATTGAGTAGGTAAGTGAGGGACTTTGCCAATGGAACAAGACATTTTACTTTTAAAATGAGAAAAAAAAACTTGCATTGTCTTATTTCAAGAGCATAATTATCTAATTATCTTATTTTAAGAGTAAAAATAGTAATTCCATTTGCAAATTATCTTATTTACCTACTCAAATTTAGAATAAATACACTTAATTTAAGAAATGTTGACTTATTTTTAGGTCGTATTTGCAGTGTGTTCTAGGTTTTCTGTTTAGTTCAAAAGTAACCTGCACTATTTTCTCCCATGAATGGTTCCTATATTGAGTTTCACCATAAACCTTTAATTGAGGAATGCCTCAGTGTATTTAGAAGCTCATGCCTAATTTAAAGTGATCTTATCTGGAAGAAAAGCCCAGATCATCAGCCTTCCACCACCATGCTCAATGACAGTTAGCAAGGGTTTTCACCAGATGTGGTTCTGTGCGTTGCAAAGAAAAACAACACTGAAAGTATTAAAATAAGTTGTGGGTTCCTTTTTATGCTTGTAATGATTGAATTGTCCCTTTAATGCCTTCGTAAAGCTGAAGATCAGTCTGTGGGATGGTTTTCCAATGCAGGCTATGAGTCGCTCCGGGTTGGCTGGACCCTCTATGGAGAACCACATGGACATGTCACACCTGCAGATGCCCAAACACATATCTGTGGCCCCGCAGGAGGAACCCAATGATTTGGAGGAACTGGAGCAGTTTGCCAAAGCATTTAAGCAAAGACGCATCAAGCTGGGCTTCACTCAGGTATTGAAAGAAAGATAATAACATTGATTTACTTTGAGGATCCTGAAAACCAGCCAAAAGTTTGAAAATCTGGTTAACCTGTTATTGGATTTAAATGTGAATATCTTCCTAGGTCTTTGTTCACTTGTGTTTCCGTTATTCTGTGATGGGCTGGTGACCAGTCCAGAGATTTTAGAAATGTTATTTTCTGCTTGCTTCATTCGTCTTGTCATTATTTTGTCTTCTCACAGGGAGACGTGGGCCTGGCAATGGGAAAACTTTATGGGAATGATTTTAGCCAGACCACAATATCTCGATTTGAGGCTCTGAATCTCAGCTTCAAAAACATGTGCAAGCTCAAACCTTTGCTGGAGAAGTGGCTCAGTGATGCAGGTACACAGAACTACAAAATAAGAGAGCTTTGGCCTTTGAGAAAAAATACTGAAAGGCAAATATCAGTTTCCCAAAACGTGTTAGTTATTTGCATCATGATTATTGGTTTTGAAGTGCAGGGTGATCATAGTTCTTCATCACTGGGGGAATCTATAATAAGGATCGGTAATAGAAAAATATGCTTTAGGGAGGCACTTCAAAAAGAATTTTAGTGACAAAATTCACAAAATATTTAGAACACTAGAAGAAGCTTACTGCAATGGAATATAATTTACCATATTTAATGTGTTGTTTTCTTGCTTTTTTGAGCTGATTACACCGATAATTTTTTTTCTCATGTTTTAGAAAACTCACCTTCTGACTCGATGAACACTCAAACCTCTCTGCCTCCTCTGATGGAGGGATACGGACGCAAACGGAAAAAGAGGACAAGCATAGAAACCAACATCAAGCTGACGTTGGAGAAACGTTTTCTTGACGTAAGATCAAGACAAACAAACGTTGAATTCTGTTATTTAATAAACAAAATGATTTAGAAAGTTAAAATGCCAATGAAAGGATGACGATATTGTAAAAAAAAAAAAAAAAAAAAAACTGGGTTTGTGAGGTCTAGTCAGATTGTTTGGAAGCCCTGAACAACCTGACTTTACCCACCGAGAACTCAGAATTAAAGAAGACCTCTAAAGAAGATTAAATAATTTCAGGAACATCATATAATAGATTTGCTTTTGATTTTGTATGTTTCTAGCTAATGTTCAGCCGATCTCACAGGTGTGAAATAATGCAATATGTAACTGTGATCGTTTGGTTTCGCACAATATTTTCATCTTGTACTTTTGGAGAGAAAAAAAGGCTAGATTTTTTTTAAATAAAATAAATATATACAATAAATATCAACTTGAAAGAAATGTTGAAATCCTCCAACTAACTAGATTTTATGTGCAGGTCAGGCTACTGAATGTGAGCTTGAACCTCTGACATGCAAAGTTTAAGATCTAAATAGTTACATTTATATGTACTAATCTTACCATATAATCTATAAAGCTGAGCCGTTTCCAAAAAATCTTATCCATGACTAAGAAGTACTTAATAAGGTGTATTCCCAAACAAAATTCAAATATTATTCATGTGTTATGGTCTGAGTTGCAAGTCGAGCCAGCTTTCTAAAATAAACCATTAGCTCTTTAAAATCCACTTTTAATTCATAAAATGTGCCTTTCTTTACCGTTAACATTAAATAATGTTGAAATTTAGTATAATCAATAAACATAAGCCATTCCTTAGGGTGGTGAACCTGCTAAAATGCTAACCTTAAACCCTTTTTCTGTCAGAGATAAAAATTTAGCATTAAATGGTCAATCTTTTTAAACGTACACCTGATTTTTGTCAGAATTAGATCATATGGAGCTACTGTTATCCAGAAATGATGAGTTGTTCCCCCCCCAGAAAATTTTAATTTTAACAGCCTTTATTATAATTTACAATCAAATTCACAGCATTTCTAATGGTAGATTACTAGAAAATCTAAGCATGTTAATATTGTCACAATGCATGTTAATTAATATGGTGACAATACCCATTGTCAACATAAGATGCTGTGAAGTTAATGTGATCAAATCCATCAGTCTAAAGACTGAAGGATTATCATACTATTTTTATTTATTTTTTATTTTACCTTTATTTTACCAGGAAGTCACTTGAGATAAAATCTCTTTTTCAAGGGAGACCTGTTGAGACACTGTTCTGGAAAGTCAGTGTAATTATCCAGATAGCACAGACAGATTTCTGATTTTTTTTTCTTGTTGGTTTCAGAATCCAAAACCTAACTCAGAGGAGATAACCTTGATCTCCGAGCAGCTTTCCATGGAGAAAGAGGTGGTTCGAGTTTGGTTCTGCAACCGCCGTCAGAAGGAGAAGAGGATCTACTGCCCAGTAGCTACTTTACCAGTCAAATCGCACAGCTACAACTCCAGAATGGTAAACTGTCAAACCCATCCCTCTCTTAACTTGAATTTGATAATAAAATGAAACCTTTTAAGGACTAACCTCTAACCCCCTCCAGCCATTACTATAAAAAACATTTTCTTTTTAATCTCCTTCATGAGTTTAGTAGTGCACTTTTTTTCTTTTTTTTTTTTACTTTGTTGAGATATTTTAATCCTTTACTCATATAAATTCAATCTAGTTTTGGATTTGGTGATTAAAGTTAATTTCATGTTTCTTAATTGGAATCTCTGGAAGCCTGAAAAGAGGAGAATAAAGTATGAATGATATTTATAAATGGGGCAACATTAATTCAACAACAATATCAGACATTTTGAGTAAAAGCACTCGTTGATTTTATAGAGATGTCAATTTCTTAACATTTGTACAATCCTAACGTCTGTTTTGAAACGGTTTCAGGCTTCTACATCCAGGTCCTATAGTCCTTTGGCCTCAGGTGCAGGTGAGTACCGTCCTCAATTTACCAGATAACTGTCATGACTGTCTGACAAAAAAGAAGACAGTTTGGCTAGTTTCCCTTGAAATTCAAATAATGAAACTTCTTCCACTAATGAAAATCCTTCTATAATAATATTTCTATGGTTTTGAACAATGTTTGGTCCTTTATCTTTCAGTTTCATCAAATTCATCTCCAAACAGCACAAGTCGGGAACCATCTCCCAACAGCCTCTCAGTTGCTGCCTCTGTTGCTCTGACCTCCCAGGTCAACCCAGCTTCGTACAGTACACCTGGGTAAATACATGCTACTGAGTGTGTCTTATGTGAAGCTGAAATATTGTCTGGTGTGAAAAGTCTTATTACCTCCTCCTGGTTATCTTAGCTCAGTTGATACTTAAGTAAAAGTCCATGCATCCATCCATCCATTATCTGACACGCTTGTCCCAATTGGGGTTGCGAGGGGTGCTGGTGAATGACAGGTCGCCAGTCCATCGCAGGGCAACACAGAAACAAACAGTACATACAACCATTCACACATACACCTAAAGAGAATCTAGAGAAGTTAGACCTAACAGTCATGTTTTTGGACTGTGGGAGGAAGCCGAAGTACCCAGAGAGAACCCACACATGCTCAGAGAGAACATGCAAACTCAATGCAGAAAGACCCCAGGCCAGGAATCAAACCCGGAACCTTCTTGCTGCAAGGCAGCAGTGCTACCCACTGCGCCACTGAGCAGCCTTGAGTAAAAGTCTATAAAACCAAATGAACAACAAATGTTGTTTAAATCATATTTCTGCTACAAATGTTTGAGATTATACAAAAAAAGCCCAAATAAATTTATAATAGACATTAGCTTTTGATGCTGTTTGTGTTATTTCAGTCTTATATAACCAACTTTGCATACTCAACTGACATATGTGGTCAAATCTCACTTCTAGATTAATAACTGTTGATTAGACAACTTAAATTGCAGGCTACCCAGTATAACTATGAGATGTATAACTATATTTCTGTTTATTTCCTTATTTGAACTTTCAGTTCCTGGTACCGCGCCTGGAATGCTCCCACTTATCACCACTGAGAGCCACAAACTGTATCATACAAAGCTTTTAAAGAAGAAGGAAGATGGATTAACACACTCTCCTTATTTTGAGCAGGGTTACAACTTATATGTTGTATCAACAAAAATTAAACACAACACAAAGCAGGACAATAAGGAGAGGACTTGGTTACGCAGATTTTTCCTGCCAGTTATTTGTTCATATTCCAAGGAGCCTGGAGAAAGTCAAATCGTGCTCATGGGATTCCTTATTCGATTGAAAAAATGAAGGATGAAGAAAAATAATCATCAGAAGCATCAGCTGGAAGTCTAATTTTTGAGTACTCAAGCTCAAGACCTTTTTTTTTTTTTTTTTTGTATGTTGAAGGATTCCTGTGCAGATTCACTGAAATTTCGTCAAACTTCTTCTTTAGTCATCTTTGTACAAAGCGTTTATCTGCTGATAACAGTGCTGACTTGGGTGTGCTTATATTTAATTTAAATGTAACTTATATACCGGTAGTGCTGATTCACAAGAAAACATAAGAAATTGTTTACATATTGCAAATTAGATTTTACACCCCAATTGGAGGGATTTGGGTTTCAATTATTTCCATTATTATGTCTTAAAATTAAAGTAACAACCTTAAAGGTATAGCGGAGGATGTTCTTTTTTCCGGGTGCATCATCAAATAAGTGGTCCTCCTAAATTGTCAAATTGGGCTTGTGCATGCTCTTGCACGCATTTAATAGGTGTTCCCCTTTCAGAAGAGGGTGCAGGGTTGTGCATGTGCATTTTTTTTTTTTTTAAGTGGAGAGGGCAGGTCTTTAAAAATTTGCGAAAATCCTCCACTATACCTTTAAATATTACTCTGTATACACCTGGACTAATATTAGCATGGATGTACACTACCAAGCTGCAGAGTGACCATACACTTTTTGCTATCTATAAGGTTCTGGTATAATTCCAACTTTATACTGAACCAATCTAATCAAAATTTTAAAAAAGTTCATTGACCATCAGTTTTAAGTTTTTTCTGTAAATGTTCAAGGGTTAAAGTTACTGTCTATCCAGTAGCTTCATATTGGCCTTAATTGTCCGGTTTGAAACCAATGCTGAAGTTCAAATTTGAGCCACAATTATGAGCTGACAACAAAGAGAAGGATTAGATTAAAACATAAATAAGAATAACCCCAAAAAAGCTAAGTTCCAATTTCACATAAACCAGAAATTGCTAGAACCCCAGTTTTACTAAGCTCAGCGATACAGACTGATAGGGCCTGACCAAGAAAGAAATCGACACCTAATTGTACTCCTTAACCACTGTAACGGAAAATATATTGGAGTGAGTCAAGCTGAGGTTTTCAGACCTTACATCGTATCTGCCTCAAACAGGGTATAGGGAGCATCATGCTGGGGGCACTGGCACCATAAGGGGGCCATACTGGATAGAGGATTCGAACAAAGCATTTGTTCAGAAAACAGGGCTCACATATCCAGACACAATTCTACCAGAAGCTACATGAGATACATTATGCTAAGGAAATTGTAGCTAATTGTTAGTTGGAGTTAACCTAAATGTGACTGTATCTACCTGTATACTGTTATTTTGACTCTGTATGGATTAAAGACGAGGCACAATGAGCTTCACTTTGTGCATCCAGTTTATTTATGTAAAATACCTGCCAAAGGCTCAAAAGTTGATGGTTTTAAAAGTAATAGCAGAGTGTTAGAGCTATCCAAATGTTTCAAAACTTGTAAGAAAGTTCTAACCTTTAATGATCGAAAATTAGGCATCTACATTTTCCACTGTATATTATTTTTTGGGTAAATCCCATTCAACCTTCTGTCAGATTTCATCTGAAGCTCTAACACTTACTTTTTTATCGTTTGATGACTTGTTTGATTTTGAATTTCTCCTTTTATTGTTTAATGTGTTTAATTTAATTGCATGGAAATGTTGCTGTGGTCTAGAGATCTGTTATGTTCTGTATCTTTACAAGAGGTTCATTCTGATATGTTTCAAAATAAAGCGATGTTTCACTAAAATGAAGCCAAACCTACTGTAAATAAATTCTTTTGTGATACCACCTGCAATCAAGAAAGTAAAAGTTCCAAAAACAACATACATCTTTTCTGCTTCCATAAAAACCTGTATGGTAAAGTAGATGCATAGTTTTTTGCACTGTGACTAGTGTGATCATCTCAATAAAAGCAGCAGGTATGGGAGTTTTTAGGGTCTGGGAAGAAAGCCGAAAACAATTTCGGGAAGCAATTGTTGCAGCCCATAAATCATGGGAGAACAACACAGTCATTTCCAAATATATGTAATGAGTTTTGGTGATGATTGAGTGGTTTATAGACTTTAAGTTCCTGGGAGCCAGTGTAAGGACAATATATCTGGGGTGATGTGCTCCACTTTGTCAAGTTTTAGTAAGGATGTGGGCAGCAGCCATCTGGATAAACTGCAGCCGTTTTCATGCAGACTTGTGAAATCACACATGCAGCAATCTGTTCAATATCAAACATTCCTTTTTCAAGATCCTGCTGAGACATTGGTCCTTCAATCCTGAAAATATTCAGGATTAAAGGTCTGTGTCAGTCACTACACTTAGATTTTGGATGTGATCAGTGGTGAATAGCTTTCATATCCTAAGCAGTTTGCTAACTTTTGATCTATCCTTTGGTCCAAAAGCGGACTTCAGTTTAACAAAAAAAAAGCTTTTACTTATTGATACATTAATATCTTCTATATATTTAGTCTGCGCTTGTATTGGTTTATAATCATCTCTAGGGTAGAGCTGTGTGATATCTGCATAATTATGGTAAATAAAGGGTGAAGCTGAAAAAGGGAGTCCTATAAAGCCTGTTTGGCTTGTGGGATTCCTGAGGCAGCAAGCAGGTACCATGAGGCCAAGTATGCTGCTACCCTGTCGGTCGCAGAAGGAAAAACTCTGAACTGGGAGGAGTTTGGAGAGGCCATGGAGAGAGACTATTGGTCAACCTCTAAGCAATACCACAGGAAAAATCGATGCGTTGCTGAAACTGTTTTTAGTGGGAGTGGGGAGCTGCTGAACTTGAATGAGGACATTGTTGGACAGTGGAAGATGCTTTGAGGAATTCCTCGGGTGGGTTGACACCCCATCTGTGGTGGTAGATATCACCAAGGCTGGAAGTGGTCTAAAAACTCCACAGTGGAAAAGTTTCTGGGATGGTTAAGATCCAAGATCCATGATCTGCCATGATTGAGTAACGAATGTCTCTGAAAATCGTCACACTGACTGTCATGGCTGGAACGTCCCTTCAGTGGTCGTGGCTTCCCTTCATAATAAAGGGGCCTAAAGGGTGGTTCACACTTCTTAGCCTCCCTTGTACGGCCTATGCTAGGGTGCTGGAGAGGAAAATCTGTCTGACTGTCGAAACTGGGCTTCAGTGTGGTTTTTGTTCTGGCTGTGGAACACGGGACCAGCTCTTCACCTGCTGCAGGGAGCTCAAAGATACATGGGAATCTGACCAACTGTCCCACCAGGGACGCCAGATTACAACAAAGTTTTTTCTTATCTTGGATCAATTTAATTCCATCCAAATTAAGTGACTGACTAATCAGCTTTTTTTTTCAAAGACTCCGGTCCAAAGACAATAACTTTCTGTTTTGTCTGAATTCAGAATCAGAAAGTTAAGAGTCATCCAGTTTTTTTTTTTTGTCTTCAAGACAAACGTGAAGTCTATGTAATGGGTTAGCTTCATCAGGTTTGAAATTATTTAAATGTTTGAAAAGTTGAGTAATTGTTAAGAGTTTCAAGTTTCAGTGTCACATTTATTTAATTTAAAAATGTTCTGGAATATTCTTGTAGATATTTTATTTGGTTTTAATGAAATAGGTGGGTTTCTCAAAGTGAAGGTCAAGAATCTTTGGACAAGGAAAAGCCACAGGTTGGTATTAAATAATTAATATAGTGACTTAAAGAGAAAGTTTATCTGCTAAAGCTGACAGCTATAAATCAGCTGTTTAAACACAATGCAAAAAAAGTTAAAAAAAGAATAATGCAGTGAGCTGTAGCTGGATCTCCATAGCATTTAGTTTGTACATAAAGAGTGAGAAAATAAGGACAGAAAGCTTGTCTGATACTTCAAAATTATTTTATATTTCATAATGAAATGTGCAGCAAAAATTTTTACAGCAAGTCTGAGCACCCCGATAGAGATAATTGGATTTCTAAATGAGTTACCCGTGAGACAGAAAAAAATACAAGATTAAGACAAAGGTATTTACAGGTTTAACATAAAAGAACAATACAAGTAAGAAATAGGCATTTAAAACCTGTTTCTGAGAGTCATTGTCTCAGTTACTTTACAATAAAAAGGCTTTGATCATCAACTCCGTGGCTTTAAATCTTCCGGCTTGGTTTCCTTTGTACAGTGAGGTGATATCTGGTTCAGTGATGGTTTTGGTTCCAGTTTGTTTTCATTGTTTGAGTAGATCATTTTTAAACCTGAAATGACAAGAAATTATAAAAAAAATAAATGAAAGTTTATTTACATGATCTTCCTTTTTTCAATGTCATATCAGTAAAAATTTGGATTAATCTGAAATATCGAACTCTCCCCCAACATGAAGGGGACCAGGGTAGAGGTGGTACTATATGTACTGAATAAGTACAAATTTTGGCTTTCCATAGCTGTGCCAGTCATCTGTGATCTTATTTAAAGAATTGTGCTTGAGTAACATGTTTACGTTTGAGTACCCAATGTTAAGGTTAAAACTTTTCTTTAGTAGTCGAGGTTCTATACCTTCATTCGCTGTTGAATTGTAAAGTGCCTTGAGATGACATGTGTTGTGAATTGGCGCTATATACGTAAACTGAATTGAACTGAATAGAATTCACAGTTGCTCACCTTCAGCCCAGCTCCTGCAGATGCAGCGGTGGACGCACCTGGTAGTCATCTGAGTCTAAAGCAAAAAAAGAGACAGTTCAGCCTCTAAACGTTCTTATAAATAATGTAATTTAACATGGGTCTATCGGAACTGTTCTAATACTTCGCCTAGTAATAATACACAACAGATTAATGACAGAAACTGGTCTGTTTGCACCATCAAAGCTCTAACAAACACTGGTGACGACCTGCACAGAGCAGTCTGTTTAAGCTAGGCTGTACCCACAGCTTCTCCATATTCAGCAATGGAGCTGCTACTGCCTGAAGGTGAAGGTGAAATTGAGGCTCCAGATTTGCCTGCAGTGCAGTGATCCTTATGTACTTTAGAAGAGCGGATGAACAAATTTTAAAGAAGCCATGCCAGTGTGGGGGTACCCGATTCCCAGAATTTAAATGGCAAATATGTACCTTTTCATGTACCTTCAACACCAAGCCTATGTACAGTGTTTCCTTACAATGTTTTTTGAGAAAAAAAGGTTGTTTTTAGAGAGATAGTTAAAGAAGATGGTTCTGCCCCCCTCTACCACGGCCAAGGAATTTTCTTTACTCCTTTTTTTAAGCATCTAAAAGCTGCACAAGCTAGTTTTTAAAATGAAGGAAATCAACCCTCCAGGATCAGCCTTATCAACCCAGTAAGGACATAACATCAATTAAGTTAATCCTAAACCTTTTCTGATGTGAAAATTAGTTTTTTAGATTTGTATATAACTGTTCTGTTATGTAATACTTCGATTATTAGTTTTTCGAAGATAGTGTCTTGTTAGATTTCAGTTAAAACCATTTTTCAGTACAAATTCTTATCCTGGTAGTAACTCACCCTCTGGATCGGGAGAGTTGTCCACACCAGCCTTTGATTTCCTTGAAGACGAGTCTAGTTAAAAACTGTGAAAAACAGCAGAAAATGAGCCAATTATCACTCTGGATGTGGCAAAAACATTTACAGTAAATACTGTAAAAAGTACCAACAAACACTTGGCAAAAGAATGTCAGGCATTGCTATAAGAAATGTTATGAATTAGTATTATTTAGGTGTTGCTTCTGACCAGGCAGGCTAAGATGTCAGCAGTGATGAGCATGTAGAAAACATTATTCCACCCAGTAGGAGAGATCAAACCAGCAAATAGAGGACCCAACGCTGCACCTGCAAAAATACATACATAAGAGACATGTCAGCTTTCCTTTGTCCAACAGACTCCGCCTAAATGTTAAATTCTTAAGGTTTTAGGGTTCAAAGGTTCACAAAACAGCTTTTAATGGTAATACTATACTTAAGAATTAACTGCAGGGGTAAAATCTGCAAAATGTTTAAAATAACATTTTTTTTTTCTTCAGTCAGAGTTTCACAATCGATTTTGTGAGAAATGTTTGTTTTGACAAACCCCCCTGTTTTGATAACTATGAACATCACTATTCTTAGTAATCCATGGATTTCGTTTTTTATGGGGTATAAATAGTTAACTTAATCATCTTAACCACTGACCAAAATTAAAGAGACATGACAGCATGCTGCTAGGGTAAGGCATGTGTATTTTTAGTACAATAAAATGTTATGCAGTTTAAAATGAAAAAGAGGATTCCAGAAAATAACAAAAGCAAGATTTTCTTGCAGTTTTTCGATAATCGCCTACAGAGCCCCTTAAGCTTCTGTCCTTATACCTTTACATTTGTACCCAGTTATGATCAATTTTATCACATCTCAGACTGACGCTATCATCTTGTGTTGGATTTAAACTAAGAATTGACCCACTCCTGTCTGCATTAAGAAAAATTTAGGTTTCATGATAACATTTTACAAGAACCTGATCGATTGATTCTACAGCTTTCCCTGCATTAGATGGCTTAGAAAATAATCTGGATTTTCTAAAGGAAGACAAGCAGTTAAACGATCAAAAATGTGACTCATCTACAGGGCGGTTGACAAACTGCTAGAAACATAAATCAATTAAATATCATTTTCGGCAGTAATTCTGTATAAAAAGAAACCTCAAGACTGCCAAGTAAATGTTTTTATTTGACTGTTTCCGATTTGAAAATCCTTTCATTCAATCAAAAAATCTGTTAAAATTTTATTTGGGGCAAATCAATAGGGATACAAATGGTGTGGATTAATCAATAGGGGGAATATATACACGTTTGGAAAGCATACCTATTGATCCAGTGCCGTCAATGATTGCAGTGACTGTTGATAAAGCTCTGGAGTTTCCTCTTAGACTTTCATGTGTTCCCTGCAACCAACAGAAAAAATTGTCATCATCAAATCATTTTTCAAGGTGTAATGCACAGAGGCAGCACAGGATCTCGTGTCATACTGGTTTTATGACGTACCAGGTCAGCAGATACAGCTGTGGTGATCAAGGCATAAGGTCCGTTAACCAGACCGCCACATAGGAGCAACATACCTACATAAACAAAAAAAAATAATAACTTGATTAATAGTCTACACAATAAAAAACTACCAAAAAAAAAGAAAATAACAGCTTGCTTGCAAGCTAATCCTTTGTGGGGAGTAGCGGCCAAGTGGTTAGGGCATTGAGCTTGGAATCCTGAGGTTCTGAGTTTGAGCCCCACTCCCACAGACCCCAAAACTGCTCCTTGAGCGCTCCACAATGGCAGCCCACTGCTCCCCAAGTGGATGGGTTAAATGCAGAGGTAAATTTCTCCAATGTGAGATCCATAGGGTTCAATTATTAAATTATCACCTGGGAATTAGTTTTCTTACATTCAACTTAAGATATTTATAAAAGATTAATCCAAAGTGTCTAAATGTTAAAGCTGCACAGATTAGGTCAGATAATGCTGTATTGAGTGACCTATTTTCAGTTTACAATAAGCTGATCTCTCCAAACCTTCATGTATGAGAATCTATCCACTCTTTTAAAGTACTCAGCTTCCTTTTTAATTTTAAGGTGTTAAACCTATGGACTAATAAACACCATGAAGAAAACACATGCTCAATCAATAAATAAAACCACATAGGACTGTCTTATCTAGCGGTCGATTTATAGATGCTAAAACACACACAAGGTTATCAGTTGTGATATTGCAGAATGTGCTGCTTCTCTCTGCTGCTGTTTCCTGGAAGTAGATCACTTGGGTTCGAGACTTTCTGTCATTTCCAGTCATGTCTTGTGGTATTAGCCTTCAGAAAGTGTTTATGCTAAAACTTTTACATTGATCTAGCCTAGCAGGAGCGGCCAGTGTGGGTCCTTAGGCAAGACCATTCATGCTAATGCCTGTTTTGGGAAATGGCGGCCTAGTTGTTAGGGCATACAGCTTGGAATCCTAAGGTTCTGAGTTCAAGCCCCACTCCCACGGACTGGCACAAGACCCATAAACGCCTTAACCCCATCACTGCTCCCCAGGCGCCCCAAAATGGCAGCCCACTGCTCCCCAAGGGGATGGGTTAAATGCAGAGAGTTAATTTCGCTGCTCTGTACTTGTGACAATGTAATGACAATAAAATGTTGGAAAAAATTGCAAACCACAAACTTTTAAATATGCACATGCATGATATGTGTATATATATATTTTTTATTTTATATTAAAAGAAAGGATTTTATTTTTTCATTGTATTTCTTAATTACTGTTGTAAGTAGGTCAATCTTTAAGCAAATGATTTGATTCAATTACCTAAGCAGTTGTTGATTATTTAAAAAATCGATTAATCACTTGAACCATAATCTACCCTTGAAAAAGCAGTTTAGATAGAAATGGGTGATTAATTTTATACCTAACGCATTGTTCTTTACATATCAAAGGGTTTCAAGTTTTGACAGCTATTGCGTAGTTGGGGTGGGGGGTTAGGAAGTGATTGTTTAAAAATATAAATATAAATTGAGGGCCTCTTACCAATTGTGATCCCGAGACTCCTTTGTCCGATGTAATTATAGACGAAGAGCTGGAAGTTAAAAAAAAGAGATGAGTAAAAAAATAAATCCTGACATCCTTCTACTTTCGCTGTTATAAATCATATTTGGGCTAATAAAATCACTACTTCAACATAAAAATACTGTGATATATTAATAGTGCTGAAGGTAAATTAGCCATTTATACCTATGAACCATCGAGCATCAGTTTATTTATGAAGTAGTCAAATATTTTGAACAAAACTAGGTACACAAACTATTAAAGACTCTCTGGTATCTCGTATAGTTTGATCAGAATTATTGTTTGAATATTTTGTTCATACCCCATTTCTAATCATTTTGGCTACAGTTTGTCACTTGTAAAATAATAGGGATTATAATTTCTTTATTAACACTGAATAACTATCAGTACTGCTATACTATTTACTGCTGTAACAACCACATTCCCACAGAGCAGATGATAGAAAACAAGTCTCTGTGGAAAGAATCGGTCTCTGTCTGATGAAAGGTTGCCAGGAAGGAAATGGCAAAACTAATGTGGGATAAAAACAAAACTCCAACACAACTGTGTTTTTCCGCATCATATATTTGTCAAAAAATCTGAAATGAGATATATGTCACCATTGGTGCAGCGAGAATCAGCATGACGCAGCAGGTTGAGGCTCTTCCTCCAGTGAAGTCAGACACCAGGCCGGCCATGATGCCTCCTGCGGACAAAAAGAGGTGAGACTGTTTAAAAATAGTTTAAAAATAAAACACAGAACACTAGATCAGCTCTGTTTTTATAAATGTAAATCGTCATGTAAGATCTCCAGAGAAACAACTTTGATTTTTTGTTAACAGGTTAACATTTCAGAAAGAGCAGAACTCCATAATATGATCCTGAATTTTTAATGCTTTGAATTTCACATTGAAACCCTGAATTTCTTTTCTTTGTGTGGAAAATAAAAGCTCTATGGTTGTCAGTACGCTCTATCCAGCCTTTTCAAGTGGAAAAGCTAGTTTCACCTGGTATGATTTCATAAAAAGTCTTCTATAAGGAACCTTTGGCTATTAGATTATTAATCAATTAATCAAAAACTTATTAACAGATTAATCGATTTGCAGAATAATTGTTAGTTGCAGCTTTAAAATGCTCAGTAGCAGTTTGACCTTTAAACCAAAACTAAATCCTTTGCATCTTTAGATAACAATAAAAAGAAAAATTCCAAAATATGTTTTATCTGCATGTTATGAATTAACTTTCTGCCATCACTGAAATATAAAGAAAGATGCCATATTGATCCAAACCTACCCAGAATCCCTCCTGCATCAAATAATGTTGACATATCTCCAGCTTCTTTAGCTGGAAAATGAGCTGAAAAGAAGAAAAGATTCAGCTAGTTAAAAGAGATATTACCAGATTCTATACAGAATAAAATAAACATTCATAAAAAAAAATGTATATTCAGGAAAATAAACCTGCATAAATGAACAAAAAAAGGCTTAATATCTTTACATTTGAACCTGTTTCTCCAACCAGACTAATAATGTATGTACCGGTATCTACTTACCGGTACATATTTTGTAGCAAATGATACATAAAGAGTGACTTTCAGACTAATGTTCTCCTTTCTAGGGCAGGCAGGATTGATAAAATTATTATTTTCCAAATCTTAGATTATCAAGAGAACAGCTTTAAAAATTCCATTTCTTCAAATGTCTTTCAAACTGAAATGCATCAAATATTTATGGTTTCCTACTACAAGCTTTAGGCAGCCTCCTTCTCTGTGTCAGAGATCAGGCCTTTCTGATGACCACTGTCAGGCATTAACTCTGATGGTGGGATATTCAGGGCGAGTGTCCATTTGAAGACTTATTTGTGCCAAATCTTTAACTTTCAGGTCTTCAGAGGCTGTTTACTTATTTCTACATCTTTTTCTCTCATCTACTTTGAGAAGCACGCTTATTCCTCCCCCACAGCATGATGCTGCCACCATCCTGCCTCAGAGTAGCATGGCTTTTAAGCTTCCCCCTTCCTTTAAAAAGTAACAGTGGCAGCTTTGGCAAAACAGTCTAATGTTGGTTTAATCAGAAACTGTCTCTAAAAATTAAGATCTATATGCATCTGCAAAATGGAATCTGACCTCCGATTGATTTCGGATTAATTGGTTCTACCTTTCTTTCAGCCAGTGTCCATAGAGAACTCCTTTCACTGTTGAAAATAGCTCTATTGTAGCTTCAGTTACCGTAGCTAACACACTTTAAAACATGTCTATTTCCAGACACAAATCAATGCCGTTCCTGGACAGTGGGATGAATCTGGAATCTGAATCAGGAATCTCAACAGGTAGCCTTTGTGGAACCAGACTTATGAAGATCTATATTTATCATTTATCATTTTATCTATTTACTTTTAGATTATCTTAATACCCACAGCTTCTAAACTAAAATGTTGCAAATCAGAAATTTACAAAGCCATGACATAAAGATTTGACCTTCCCAGAATTTTGTCTCACATTTTGAAGAAATTCACAAGAAATCTTCCTGGTGGGATTCTATTATAGAAATCCTGACTGGTCTAAAACAGAAAACATTTAGTCTGTGTTCAATCGACAGTTGGATAAAAGAAAAAAGTTTTATATTGTATTTTTAATCTATTTTGATAACTTGAAATCATATTGATGATGATTTCTTAAGTAAATAATGTTTGGTTTAAATCATAAGAAGTTGAAATAATACTGACCGACATTTGAGATGTACAGAGGAAGCCAGTACAGGAAGGTGTAGCTGACCAATTTGGCAAACATGAGACAGAGAGAGAACTCCACCACTCCCTGTAGGAAACAGAAGCACATATTAAAAACAGAAGCGGCTTCAACACCAAACAGGGCAAAAACCAGATTAAGCAACATATTAAATAAGGAAGATATCCAATAAAGGAAGAGGTGAAGGAGACAAGCTTGAATTCAGTCCTTATTTCTGTTATTGTATTAAAAAAGGGAAAAGATTTGGTGATTATGTCTGACCAGCTGAGTTCCTTCATGTTGTTGAATTTTTCACCTTTGGGTTAATTTAATAACCATTTCTTTTCTTTTCTTTTTTTTTTTACATTTCTAAAAGTGTTAACCATGTTAACTACTTATTGTTGACAGTTTTAACTAGTTTAATAAAACATAATCCTTCAAATCTCAAATAGGTAGAAAGGGATTGAGGATGTAAAAGTAGTTTGGTTCCCTAAAAACAATCAAGCCTAAAATAATTTATTCTCATGGCAGATGTTATCTTTTTTTCCATGAATGGTTTGAAGAATCCCAGCTTAAATTTTATAAATACTCTATTGAGTTAACTAAAAATTGGGGTGATGGCAGGGAGGTCTACCAACCTCAAAAGTCCCAGAGCTCATAATTAGGAATAGGTCACATAAATAACAGATGAACAGGGACATAATCTCTGATTAATTAGATTAGATTAGATCAGCTTTATTGATCTCACAGCAGAGAAATTCACTCATCCCATATTGGCATAGAAGTTACAGAAGGAGATTCTGTAGGAGATTGTTAGCAGTACAGCCGATTTTTGCATTTGGGGTAAAATAGATAGTTTTCAAAATAAGCTATAATTTTAACTGTTACTTCCTTTAATTTTTTAATCGTCTGTTAGTGATGACTACTCATTTATTCAACCAGAATCAAACTTTTTGGATGTAAATAGTTTCAAGTCTAAATATGCCAAGCCTTCAAATCATTTTAAGCAGTTCTGTATTAGATACATGGCAAACAGCTACTGGAAAGTGAAGAAAAAAATACAAAAAGTTACTTATAGAAAAAAAAACCAACCAAAATAAAAATTAAGGACGACTGTTACCAGCCATTGCAAAAGAGTTTTGGATTTTTTTTAAATCACGCTCAAGTGAGCCACTGGTTTCTAGGAAGCTCTTTTGTCCATTTTTGTATATGAAATACTATAATTAGGTAAAATGATAGATTATAATCTTCCTACAACTACCCTGGTTAAATGGCGAGAACTAATATTAAAAGGTAAAATGTTGATAATACTGTTACTGACGGGTTTTCGATTTTAGGAGACATGTACGACAACAGAGTGGGTGGATAAATAAATAATATGATTATCCCAAATAAAACAGAAGCATTTTCTAACTTTTCTAATTATTATTTTTTTAAGTATAATGTGCTATTAAACCAGTAGATGGTGCCACAGAAACGTGAAATTCCCCCCCCCCAAAAAAAAGTAATATTTGGAACTAAATCAAACTAGTTCAATATTTTTTTGGTTAAATCAAGCCTTTCTTCTTACAGGTATAGAGAGAGCTCCAACAAAACTGATGGCCTCAGAGTGTTCCTCTACGATCTCTGGAATCTCTGTTGAGACGGCGCCATTGATGTTTCCGTTTCCATTTCCGTTTTGCAGCAGAGGCTCGGTCTCACCATTTTCCTGGACAATCTGATGCACAAAACACGGCTGTGAGCTCAGAAAGCAAATGTTACAAGGCAAAACGAGGCGGAGGAAGGTTAAAGTTAAAAGCTTACATGATGCTGAGGAGGAGAGCAGTTCACGTCTTCAGGCCCTGAAGGGGAATGAAAAATAAATTAAGTTTTGACTGAAATAGAAAAGAAAAAAAAACAACAGAAACACAGACTGTGGAAGAAGAGCAAAATTGAACTTTGGGGAAACAGACTTTCAACCAGGAAGAAGAAGCACAGGATCCCAGTCGAGGCGATGATGAGTCCTGGGACGATGAAGGACATTCCCCATTCCGAGGAGACGAAGACTCCGGCGATGAGGGAGCCCAGGATGTTTCCCACGGATGTGTGGGAGTTCCAAACGCCCATGATGAAACCACGTCTGACAATTACAGAGACACACAAAGAAGAAAAAACAGTTATCTTCACAATCCTGCTTCTGTTGTGTGATTGTAAATCTATGTTGGAATAGCTCTAAAGTTGTTGTTTTTTTAAATCAATTTTTTTGTATTTTAAAATGTCCCAAGCCTTTTTTTTTTATTGATTTATCTTTGCATTTTTTTTATTCTGCAACAGCAAAGATTCTCCAAACATAATCTCAAATCAATTCTAAGCCAGACTTTGACTAGGCCACTGCATTTTTTTTACATTTGAAATCATTCAGAAGTGGAATTGCTCATTTTTTTTTCTCAAAGCCATTCTGCATAAACCAAATACTCTTGAACTTAATAAACAAAATAGGTTCAGCAATTTGGCATTTTTCAAACAGTAATACTAAAATTGATAGAAATTGAGAGCCTGAAAGGTGGTACTAGCTTATGTTGAGCGTCATCATTGTACAGCTCTTCTCTGATCCAGTGGGTCATACGATTGAGAAGGATAACTTCTGGCCCAAAGATCTATTTTCACAGTTTTTTCAGATAAGTCTGGTTGAAAAGGATCTAAATTTATATTTAGAACCAAATTAACAAACAGAATAAGATCCTCTGATGCTATTTCTAAGTATAGAGATGCTGCTCTAGTATGTATTTCCTTTTTAAGCACATGAACACCATGTAAAATGTTGCTTAATGTTGCTATGCTGAGAAAATGAGTGAAACAATACTGGGTATCTGCTCTTATATGTATGAGTCAGTCATAAATTGCTGTTTAGTGGTATCTACTAACTTCTACCAATTAGTGTTTTCCTTTGGCTTTTTCCCTCCTTCTATCTTGAGCAATACTTAAAACCACAACCACAGACATTCAACCTTAAAAGAAAGATAACTTTCTGCTTCTTCTTAATGAATATGCTTAAAATCTACATATGAAGATGACCAGGTTGACTATGTTCTTAGTTGTTTTTAAACTGAACTAAATATTCTTTAAGTTCACCTAATTGGAAGCAGCCGTGTTTTCATGGGTCATCTATAACTGCACCTTTAAGAACACCAAGGCCTCCCTAATGTTCCAGTATGAACCAGTTTGACCAGTTTCTCCAGACATTTATATGTGAAAAAAGTATCAGTGTGTGATTCAGACGGCTCCAGAGCTCTGCAAAGTCAGCTGGATTCCCTCTCCGTACTCACTTCCCCTTTCCGAACCAGTTGCCGACACAAGCCACCACAGCGGGCCAACCGGTGGTCTGCATGAGCCCGTTCATGACCTGCAGAGGGAAGCACACCGAAGCCCACCTATGTTAGAGAGAGGGATCTGGTCCTCTTATTATTAATCACATTCCAAAGCTCAGGAATATAAGCCCAGACATGCATGTGCAGTCTTATGACACAGCTGGGAGTCATGTGATGGTTGTGGGTGAAGTCTGGGTAAGCATTTTATTCTAAGGAGGGGAAAACCTAACTAACCAACAGTTACAACACCTGCAATGGAGTAAAGAGCTTGTTAATAAATACTTTCATTATACATATTGAGAGCTTTGTTTTTTATCTTAAATTTTGTATTCTATCATTCCTTAGGAGTCTTTGGACAAAAGCTTTTACTTTTTCAACCAACTCTTGTCGTTTTTATTATTCCTCTGAGGTCATGTGTTGAAGCGAAGCTACAAAAATATCCCTAAATTCCATTCAACACTCAAGGGGTTGTATTCTTTCTAATTTATTCACACTTTGAGCAGAATTCTGAAGCAAAACAAAATGCTAAACACAAAGAAGTGTTTGTACATTTGTTTTGTTTTTTTCTGTTTCTGATTTTATGTCAGTACAAACAAACAAAAAAAAAAATAACAAATCCATTTTTAAACCATAATTGAAGCGTAGTTGAGCACATTATATCTTAAAGTTTAGTTTTACTGCCTGGCATGCTGAATCAACAATTATTCATATAGAAATAATATAAAGGCCAATTAAAGATCCGAAAATCTTAAGTGCATAACGCCTTACAAAATTAACTAAATAACTCCACTGGTTTGTTTAAGAAAGAAAAATGGCAAAAAGAAGCCATTACACCACTGGAGCTGATGAAATAGATCATACAGATGTTTTTGCATCCATCTAGTAGAGAAGTTTTTATTTCTTCTGTGAGCTAGTACGATTTTAACAAACTTTAGTTTCTGTAAGGTTTTTTTTTTATACAAAAATAAATGTTTAACAAGAAATCAAGTCTGTATATCCTTCTGAGCTGGATTTGATTATCAACAGTCAAAGGCAGTTGAAATAGTGAAGTGAAACACAATCTCTCCTGACGCTGCTTTTGTTTGCAGCAGTGCAGTGAGGGAGGGAGCAAAACTTCTGCCAATCTGAGCACATACAGAAACCTGACTGCTGTGCTCTGGTAGGATATTAGTCAGCAGAAACAAAACACCTCATCTGATCCTTATGCTTCCCCTTTTTTTCACTTAATCTAAGGTTGTTTCTGACAAGAATTATGAGGGTCAGTTTAATTATAGTTAAACGTCAAATAAATTTTTATATCAATCCGCATTGGCATCACCAAAAGGGCTGGTTGCAGCTGTGTGAAACTTTTAATTTGATCTCTAAAGAATGTCCTGCTCTGTTATCGTACCTTTACTCCCATTTATGTAGAATGTATGTAGAAGTTTTATCTACTTTCCACAGTTTAAAAGGATAAATCCCTTTTAATAATGACATGCATACCTGGCCTATGCCTCTGAAAAAGGAGTCGTTAGGGACAAAAACATCTTGCCTGGTCAGCCAGGCCAACAATGACCCTAACGACTCCCTTTTAGAATATCAATATTAATACAGTAACAGGTATTGCAGGCCAACATTGACCTCAACGACTCCCCATTATCAAGGGATAGACCTGTCTTCTGGTTCAATTTGCATGTTTTGTAAGCCATAAAAAGGCTTTGTAGGGTTACTCCATTAAGCCTGAACTCAACGCTAATCCAGACATTTTGAGAAAGCTTTCTGGATGGGAAGTGAAATGTCTTCAAACTTGGAAAACAAAGTCCAGTGGAATGATTCTTAACTTTGGTTTTGTTTTACTTTTTTGGGATAACAGTTATTTCTCACAATCAAACTCCAACAATCAGTCTTGGGTGAATGGGGGGGTGCGTTTGTATACCTGCACGAAGGCATAGTACCCTAAGGAGTGGATGTTCCAGTAGAAGCCGAGCCCGAAGAGGCACGTAAAAAATCCGCTCATCAGCATCCCAAAACTCAGGTAGTACCGCAGAGGAAGGCGCTCTCCAAAGATCCCACTGGGGACACAGAGGATGACCTGGAGTGAGTGCGTGAGTTAAAAGTGTTAGCTGGAGAGCTATCTGCAGCTACAAACCTGAAAAACATGCCGATGGCATAGGCAATGAGGAAGGAGTTATCCAGGACTCCAAACAGGGTCTGATAGTTGTCCTGATCTGCAGGAAGGACACAGAAAAAAAACAAAAAAAAACGGTTTATTATTAATGATACTAAAGAGGACAGAGTGGGCCAACTTTGGAATATGTGAAAAATGAATCCTTTGTAGTTTAACTCATGGAAAAGGTTCCCTTATGGTGTGATGTGAAATTATTTATAAAACTTACACCGAAACACCACATGCATTAAAAGCATAATGAATACATCATACACAGAATTAGGTCATTTTCAAAATAATGTTACAGCTGAATGGAGCATCACTCTAAGCACAGACAGACTGAATTTCTGTCCTTAAAATCTGATATAATATGATGAACTTTTTTATCTAATGTAATGATATCCATTACCTACAATATCAAAAACATATCAGATGAAATAGACTTTTATTTTGACCATTACTGCAGCTTGCTTTAATTTCAAGATGAATGAACAGCATTTTAAAATTATTACCATACCTCAACTGGTTTTTTATTATTGACCTACTTTCTATCTTTCCTCCCCTACAGCCAATCAGATTGTCTCTCATAAAGTTACTGCGTGAAGCAGAAAGTCTGACAGTAAAGAGGCTTTGTCATCAACTTAACCCTTAATTCTAACTAACTAACTAACTAGCTAAGTTAACTCTTGAAATTGGTTAGAAAAAAAACATCTATATTCTTTCAGCACATGGACCTGCCCCACATATGGCCTAAAACATAAATGAAGACCCGTTAATGAAGGACTTACCAAATGGCGTCCAGTCACACCAGGTATCATTGTTGGTTATGTTGAGGTCAGCCGGTCGGATGACTAAAGAACAGTTTCTATGCAGCTCACCCTGAGTTTAAAATAACACAGAAATAGATCAAACAAATCAGATAAGGAACAGATAAGCCACATAAACCCATGCAGGATGATACGGCCTCCCCCATACATTAGTTAGAGTTCTGTTCCCAAGCTAACTTCCCATTTTCTCACCATAATAGCCAAACATTTAACTTGTAAATGGATGTGTCTAAAACTAGTGCATTTTCAAATTAGAAGCTTACAAAGCAATAACATCAACAGTAGTTTGTTTTCTTTTTATCTGACTAAATGATTACAGATATTGGTGGAAGTAAACTTGTAGAAAGGAAATTAAATGTATGCAAGACATTTAACAGATAGAAATATTTGTGAAACTCTCACTGGCTGAAAATGGAATATTTAATCAGATATAATGACATATGGTATTCATTAATTTTAAATAGAGTGCAAATATCCAGGTTTTACTTGGATGTGGTCAAGGCTAATAGGAAAGTTAGCCGTTATTTTCATTTTACCTTAATTCTTATCTCAAAAAAGTTCCCCTTTTCTTACCCCTTTCATTATTTAAAGTGAACTAAAATTGTTAGGCTGTTCCTCAAACAACAGAAAATAGCCTCAACAATGAACAATTTAGAATACTCTTCTCATCTGGCAAATGGCAGAAAAATATCAGCAACCACTTGTTATGATACATTTATTTTCCTCAGAAGTGAATGTAAAGTTTTTAAATCCTGAGCTTATTTTGAAAACCACTGTCTGACACTAAATTTAACACAGAATTACAAGTTATAGATGAATATATATCTCGGTAAGTGTACAGAAGGGTTTCTCTAGTCACCTTTACAATGCTGATAGGTTTCCTTGACAGGTGGTAGGCAGTGTAGAAGAGGAATGTAAGGAAGAGAATAAAACCTCGATACCTGCAACAGAAGCACATAAAACATAAGCACATGTTAAAATGGATTATCTAAACAAAAACACGCTTTACTGTTTTGTTATTTTAAACAGAAATGAGAAATAGGGGAAGTGAGTGGATGAGGATCCATTAGGAGAACTTTTTTCTGTTTCCACTGACGTATCAATGTGTGTTTGAATAACATAGATGGCATTAAGAGTAAAACAAACTGTTGTGGATGAACCGTTTCCATGCAGGGGGGTTGGAAATTAAGTGGAAATACATATTTTACGCTTTAAAATAAGACAAACAGTGACAGCCATTAAACCAAGCAGGCTAACACCTTTTGGTATGCTGAATTATTTGAAATCTAGGGAAAACTATCTTTTCTGTTTGAACAGTCGCAGCAATCTAGGCATTACAAATGAAACACGATGGTTGCTGTTGTGTCAGTAAACTCTGTTAACAGGGACGAAATCTGCATTAGTTAAGGGGGGATTTACAGGCTGAGCTCCAAACCGCTTGTTAGCTGTCATTCAAACACTGAAAATCTGATGGAAATCAACGGGATCAGCAAAACGAAAAATGACTCAAAATAAACGAATGTGGCCTACAGACATAATTAATCAAAAAACAAGTTGAAATGTTTAAATTCCAACAGGTTATGATGATCCCATCAAGTTCATTTGAATAACTCCAAAACAAGCTTTTTTTCAATAGACCTTTATATATAACATGTCTCAACAGATATGCTGTAGAAACGTTTTCAAAAGTTCATAGGAAAATCAATTTTCATATTCCTATTCAAACCTCAAATTTTAGTCTAAAACAAGAGACACGAAAATCTGTTCAGATGAGTAAGGAAAGATAACCCTTGGAAAGATAAAACTCTCTAAGTTGTTAATTTTTGCTATTGTACTGTGTTTAAAAACAAAGCTTTAAAAAGTCCAAGCAGTTTAAGGGATCTAGTGTCACAACCTGACCTTGTTTACATCCTTTCCATGAACAGAGAGCCTGAAACTGAATATGAATCTCTGTAAAAATCGGGCTTAATTCTAACAAATGTTTGCCTGCTGACAAATTTTCATTGTACGATTTTAAATAAATTACACACTGACTGCTCCAGACTCACGATCCGTCTCATATGATGATCTAATTGCCCTCAGTTCTCAGTGTGTTATATTCTGACAAATGTGTTTAAATATTAACATCTGGTGCAGCTGCTGCCTTCTGCAAACATCTATGCTTCAATAAGCGACAGTCTCGTGACAGCAAATTTAGTAACTGTAATGGTTTTTTGGAGGTATGTGAGCTGTTGCTTGATTCCAATAGTTAGCACAATTTTTTTTTCATGCTCTCATGGAATTAGGTTCCTTGTTTCGGTATTTCTGTCTTATAAAACATTTATAACAATGAGATATATGAGTCTGGAGAGATAAATCTTCTTCTAGACTCATCCAGACCTGGAAAAAGCTGTAAAACTCATCATAAACAGGAACTTTGAAAGAGGATCTTTTCTGTGCTTTAAAGTGTTAACGTTCAACTTCAGCTTTAGCTTTAGAAAGCCATTTTCATTTTACTCTTATTAACATTATTCTGGTATAATATTTGCAGGCATAATGTTGAGGCTGTGAAAACCAAGTATATTAATATATTTTTTTACAAAGTTTTTTTCATCTCATAACAGAAATTGTTTCAACCTATTTGGTTTTTCATTTCATTGCTAAGATTATTAAAAGTTTATCAGAGTTCTAATGACTAGTTTACTGTTTTGGTAGATGATTAGTGGGAATTTAAACCTCTGACAATTCTAAGAAATCTCATGTTCTAATTTGTTGTAATAAAAGGTTACTGTAATGTATGCATTCAATCAAAAGAAACGAACATCAGGTTCCAGGTTGCTATTATAGGCAAATAATAAAAATGGAAAGATTTCTTTAAAAGCATAAATCAAATTTCTGCAACAAAATAAAGAAAAATCAGAGTGGAGTTGCTCCTGATCTGTTTACATAATTTGTAGAACCTGATTAGGCCTTAATCATTTTAATTTAGTTTGATACAAAATAGGAAAATCCATTTTCTATCTCCTGATATTTATTTGACTGTTTGTAATTTAATTTTTTTTTTATTTAAGTATACGTATAATAAAACCCAGGCAGAGTTTTGTTTTTAAATATAAAGTCATCCTGTAGTAAATAATCCCTCTCATGCACCAGCTGTGTGATCAGGAGCTGGAGGCTCAGACGTTGAACGCGTCACGGATTCCTTGACTGCTGGACGGCAGGATTGATCGTTAAAGTTCAAATATGAGTCGATAATTAGATTAAAATGACCCTTTTTAAAGAATCTGATTGAAACAAACACATAATGCCAAACTAAAACCAAGTAATGAAACGCTTATAGCGATGAGATCTTAGATAAATATGTAATAAACACCGTGGTGCGTTCAATGGTTTATTTAGAGAATCATTGTCCATCGACTGGACTGAGTAAATAATCTACAGCCGGGAGATAATGTAGAAACAGATAATGCTGCCCTGTACCCAAGTAGAAAATAAAATAAATAGATAAAGGAACTTTACCAGCTGTCTCGAGAGAAGGAGGTGATCAGTCGAATCCCGGGAGCCAGAGGAGACTTCATTGTTGATTAAAGACCGGTTAAAAACTTCTCAACTTAAACTGTTACCACTTAATCCTAAACATCGTGTCCTCGAAACTGATACTCAGATAAGGAGGTTTGTAACTAAATACCGAGTTATAGCTAACAGAGGGGACGCTTTCCGAGGGCAGTCGTCGGGTGGGAAAAAAAAGGAAGAATGGTAAAAGCAGCCGAAGGATAAAAGCAGACGCTAGCTGCTAGATGTGAAAAGCGGCTGCTGCCCGGCTTCTAGGACGGAGATAGAGTCCGTTAACATCCAGCAGAGCTCCATAATGTCCCTCTAAGTTTATATACACCGAAGAGAAGAGCCAGCCTACCTCCCCGAGCCTGAATCAAAAAACACGGTGGGGAAAAACGGTGGAAAATAATAAAGAGTTACTAATAATACTCGGAGGAGATGCACTGCTCCACAAGGTTTTCCAGGAGGAGCGTCCCTCCCGTCGTCAATAACAGCTGTTACGTCACAGCGTCGCTTTGTACAGAACGAGTATGGCAAGACATTGTTAACAACAATCCAGCCACTTTCTGATCACTAGTTAGGTGGGGTTAAATCAGTGGTGTAGAATTTTTTTGTTGTTGTCAAATTTTGGTCAATATTATATAAATAAAAAACGAATCTTCGAACAGAAGACCTTAATTATCTTATATTAGGAAACTCGAGAGAGGCAATAGAAAATAAACAGAGATACGAAAATTTGAATGTACATACAAACTTAAATATGAGTTCTGCAAAGTTATTATTGAAAAATAGTCAAAACATTTAAATGTTTAGGTTCAATAGAAAAATACAGCAATAGTATTAGAAAAATTGCAATTGTTATGAGTAGAAAAACACACAAAAAATATGATTGTAGAAAAAGCTCTATTTAATAACAAGACTTTAAAAAAATTGCCCTGAAAAAAAAAGTTTCCACCTGCATCATCTGTATGTTTGTGCCATGGGCAATTCTAGACCGGAGCTAATAAGGGCCAGTACACCTGTTCCTGGCCCCTCTTGGGGCCCCCATACTAGAGACATAATATTAAATGAATTTAGAATAGAAAAATCAAATAAAAAATCCCTTTATTGTCACACAATGGGGAAATTGTGGTGTTACAGCAGCTAAAGGTTATAGCAGAAGTGGTCACACAATGTGGACATACGAAAAGTGTATAAAAATAACAGAATAAGTGAAAGAGTTAAGAAAATAAACAAGTACTGTATGTTATAGTGTTTTTATGATATAAATACTCTGTATCTGGAGAGTAAATATTTAATAAACAGCTGTGGGCATTTTAAAGTAATGGCTATGTGCAAAAAAAAATAGCAGCAACACCAGAGATGTTAAAAAACATCCTATAATGTTTGCTGGCACAGAAACTGTAAATGACTGTTCCCTTTGAAAGATTATATTTTTGACTTTCAGGCTTACTTAAAAACTGATTTTAAAATGCAGGTATTTAGGTAGGATCAATTTCTATCTGCAGCTCCAGGGCTGCAAGACACTCTTTGGCTCATTCACTATATTAAACAATGAAATACTACCCTGTTGGTCATGTCATTTATTCGTTCTGTGCCCCCATACATAAGCAGTGTATGGGGGCAAATTTGATCTAGAACTGGCACTGGGTGATGCATGTACCATTTTTTAACTGCTGTATATAAAGACATCCAGAACATTTAATCAAAATATAGTTCCACGGTTTCTCTTTGTTTAGATTTGACAAGGTATCAAAAAAAAAAAAAAGACCCACAGATTCTGGTCTTTATTGATATAGCATCATTCAGTAGATTTTTTTGCCTGCAAATTCAAGTGGTGCTCTTCATTGTGGCTTATTAAAATTCAGTGACCTGTTCATGACACTAGTTTAAGGTGATTCAGGTTTTGGTTCATTAACCCGCTGGTTTCAGTGAACCAATCAGAGGAGGAGTATACTTTGAAAGGAGGTGGACCAGGTCAGTGGAAATACTTAGGTAATCTGCGGCTTTCAGATGACACTCAAGTGGCACAAAAGAGTCCAAAGAGTACCAGCATACATCCCCCACTTAATTACACAACCAACCTGAAGAGACTCAAACCTGTAAGAAAAAACAATGCTGGGGAGACTCTAAACTATGGCCTTGTTTTTGTTGTTAGTGGAAAGAACCAGGTGTGGTCTGCTGCTGCTGCTTTGCACCATCAGCTGGAAATGTGTTGAGCTTCCAGACACTGGTTTCCCAGTTCTTTTAAAGCAGGCAAAAACAGGATGAAGGGTTTAAGTCAGTGGGATCACTCATATTTAAAATGGGGAAGCATTATACTCCTAATCATCATTCTGAACTGAGGAAGCCTTTTATTTTGGAGGTGCAGGAAAAAGCCTTCAGGGAAAAGGAGAGGTCATCCAGCTTCCATCATTTCATGGATGACTGAGAACCCTGCTTGTAAAACATTGTGATTTGCACGGTTGATATTTTCATATTTGAATAACAGCTGCCTACTTGATATTTTGATTTTTTGGACTACTTTCTGTAAACCTGAGAGGTGTTCTATGTGAAAATAAGTAGACAATTTCTTACACCTTAAGACATGCCTGGCATCCCATTACTCGATGATCAGACAATTTCATCTAACTTATTCCTCATCCTGCTTGATTTGTAGGTTTTTGTCTTGACCACTAGCTGGCTAAATGCATGGATCACACATGCTTAAATGCTTAATAACTGATTATTAACTGATAACTGATTTTTTAAATCCTTTTTTTTTTTTTTTTTTTTACAATATATCCATCTTGACTGTAAGGAACTCGGGTTAAATGACTCCACTCAATATCTACTCTAGCTTTTTGCTCTGATCAGAGATCAGCAAGCATTAATTAATTTTAACTAATTAACAGAGATCAGAAATAAAATATATAATACAGAATTTCAGTAAATAGTATACACTGAAATTACAGCATGAATCTGAAAATCCTTACCAGGAATGCAATCAAATGGAAGTATGTGGGTAAAACCTTTAGATATGAACTAGGCAAAGCCCCCTAAAGTCTATCTAGGATTCATAAAGCTTCTTCCAAACGTAAGTTTCAAAATCCTACATTCTTGTTGAAGGCAGGAGCTCAATGAATGAGAAAAGTTTTTTCTATTTTTGGCGATAACATTTTAGATATCCAAAAAAAGCCAAAAAGTTCATACTGACAGGAAATTGAACTGTGGATTTATAACTTTTTGACTTATCACTATATGATAAATAGCTTGCCGTACCAGTTAGGAAGAGGGGAAATATTTAAATAAAAAAACAACTATTACTAAAAAGTGCAGTAAGTTTTTAATGACCCTGAGTATTAGAACTTGGAGCATTTTATTATGAGCATTGAGAAGACTACAAGGTTGTGCCAGTTTCTAATTTAATTACACGACAGGTAAATTTTAACTGTGCTGCGTTTTGCTTTATGCAACTTTACCGACTTTGAACTGGAATAACTTGTTTCATTATACTGAGAACAAGTCACTCCAAAGGAATGTACTGACCTGGTTCCTGTATAAAAAAAACAGCTTTGTGAGGCTTTTACAGACTAAAACTGTGGATGATATATTTAAAATGAATTACAAGCTTTAATTACAATTTTTATAGCAGGACACTTGAGCAGGCTGCAATTATTGTGCAAATGTGCATCAAGCAAGTCTTATTCCTATTTTTCGCTGCTGAAAATGAATGTTATTTTACTAATTAAATTAAAAGCATTCCTGATTTATTACATATTTTGCCAAAATTTCAAAACATGGTGATGAGAAACAGTAATATTTACATAAGTACAAGTGTTGGTAATTCAGCTAAAGTATCGGTTTTTAAATTTTTCATTTTATTAATTTTTTAACAATCATGTTCGGGTGTTCAACATTAAGTATGCTGATGAAATTTACAATAATTGTAAAGTTAATCAGATCAATGATTGCAACAGGAAAAAGCAAGTTGGTAAACTAAAAATTATGTTTTTTTCTCTAATAATAACAGAGAAATGGTAGTTCATCCAGGAGAGACTCACAGAGAGAGAAGTACTAATTAGAATCGTTTATTTCCATGAATAATATATAAGTTCTTTGGTGCTCGGACACCGGCTGAAACCTTTGTGTTCAGAGCTGATGGATGATCAGATCGGTTGATTTAACAGAGAGAGGATAAGACTTTCCCCGGTGTACGGACACTGATGGTTTAATAAGCCCAGGATGAATCGGATGGTTCCTGTCCAGAGTCACTTCTTGGGGAACGAGGGGGGAGATGGGTAGAGAGAGGGCTGGTGAGCAGGAGACATGGAATGACGCTGGAAGGACACCTTGCAAATCGATTGGCTCCAGGGAAGGTGCGGCCCCGAGGCTGACTGGCTGAGGTTTGAAGGGAGGACTCCAGCAGGTGATAAAGGTGAGGCTGATCAGAGTCCTCCAGATTGAATATATGCTTAAGCTTCATTTATAACAATAAAAAAAACAGACGTAATAATACTAATAATCAGGCCAGTCAAACAGCAAATGAAGGAAATGTAGAAAACAAAGAGATAAACAGACATATGGCAGCATGTGGCTCAAATTACAAAGATCTGTTTTGTTTTTTTATCACGGATGGATGGATGGTCAATAGAACCACTTTAAAATGGTCAGCATTGTTTAGTAATATTCAAATAAATCTTAGCGATAGCTGGCAGTCCTCTGTTTTGTTTTGGTGTCACGTTTTAATCGATGCACTAGAGAACATTCTGCACTTTAACACATTTCTGACAATCTTTGAAAATTGCAAAATGTCTTTTTTTACATTATGGTTTAAATAGAAATTCACAAGATATTTGATATGGCCTTTCAAAAAAAAAACAAAAAAAAACTATAAATGACTAACTGACTGAAAGCATCAGTAAACCAGCAGGTACACACAGACACATGTGAGATGTTATTTTTAATACTTCTTTGAAAGAGATGGAAAAAAACAGCAGTACAGGTCAAATCTTGTAAACCTGCCCAGTAAAACAGAGCAGAGTTCAAGTTTAAACAGATACTAAATCCCTGATTGAGTTTCTGATTCTTTTAAGTTATGTTAATCATTAGCTGCACACAGCTCAAATATTAACAAACCTCATAACTTACAATAAATACATGAATAAAATTAGCAAAATTCAGAACAGTCCAGAAAAGTCAAGGTGGAGACTTAATTTTCCAATAAGTGTTTCATTTAAACAATAAAATAACATGTAGGGAAAGTTACATTAAACTAATTATTCTGCAAGGTAAATATGCAATAATCCAGATTTAGTCTTTCGGATAGTTTGGATTAGTGTGTTTGAAAAGAAGCCATCTCCATTAGGTCAATGCAGCTCCGTTCACTGTAGATCCAAACTCACCAGCGTTGAACGTAGAGCTTTGGCATATGCTGTGGAAGAGGAGAGAAACCTTTCAGAAACAGCTTCAGAGGCAGTGTGTGTTTACAGGGACTAGAGAGTGCCATCAGTACCTCTGGGATTGTTGTGGAAGGAACAGTTGTTGGCACAGGTATCAGGGTGGGAATCCCAAAAAGAGGAGGCACAGCAGCAGAGAGGAGGGAGCTCCAGCTTTGTCTGAGACAGGCGCTCCTTCAGCTGAGCTCTCAGAGATTCAACAAACCTGCAGGGATTCATCAGAGCTGCTGATATCTTCTTTAAATGTAAACAATCCAGCTTGTTTGCACATGTAATAATACAAAATAATAATACATAAAATAAAAACAATGAGGTTTGTGTTTAAATGAATCAAAGTAAACCACAAATTGCTCGTTGAGAGTTTTTTTTTTTTTTTTTTAAATTGGCCTAAATATGGTCATCAAAGAAAATTTTACAGCCATGAGAGTAAAAGGCTCATATGTGAAACGTGAGTAAATAAGTATGGAAGCAAATCATTACCATATTTAAAATGAAAAAGCATTTTCAGAAATACTTTTTCATTTTAAGAATATGGCTGCATTGTACTAATTTCATTTATGAGCCAAATAATGCAGCCACATTCTTAAAATGAAAAAGCATTTCTGTAAATGCTTTTTCATTTTCAACTTTTACATTTCAAATTGAATTTTGGTATGTATTTGCT